TCCACCTGCATCCTCCCGTCCTGGAGAATTCCCATCCATCCACCACCTCCCCTACATCCAAAATTTGCTGAATTCCGGGAGAAGAGTAAAGACTATTAGGGTAACACGCCGCCTTGGGAAAGTTGCCAGTCACAGATTCCTGAGGGAACAACACACACACAGTGGAGGGTGGGAACTTTAGGGTAAGGCCGACCAGCGTTGGGGACTGGCTCTGGCACTCAAGGCTCTGTGACCCTGATCAAGTTGCTTAACCTCTCTGAGCCTCATTCTTCTATCTGGCAGGTTTGTGGAAGATTAGTATAGCATAGGTCACATGTCTGGCATCTTGTACATGAACATTCAGTATAAATGAGTTTAAAAGTACTTTATTGATATTCATTCAACCAATGTTTTTGAATGTGTGCCAGGCACTGTTCCAGGGGCTTGGGATCATCAATGGACAAGATCCTTGCCCTAATGGCACTATATACCAAAGGGGTGGAGACATAATAAATAATAAACATAACAGATAAATAAATGATCTAGTGTGTAAGAAGGTGGTTATGATGGTAACGTGGTATATCATGCTATATAATTACATAATTATATGGGTTATTTTTATTATGTTCCCTGAGCACTGGCTTGCTTATTAAAGTCTCTGGAGTATTGCTGCTATTGAATCTATTGCTCCCTTGTTCAAGCTTTGGAACTTCCTTCGTGAGGTTTGTTAATTTCAATTCCCTAAAACTTACACAGTACTATATATAAAGTAATCAACAAGGACCTACTGTATAGCACAGGGAACTTTACTCAATACTCTGTTATAACCTATATGGGAAAAGAATCTGAAAAAGATATTTGTATATGTATAACTGAATCACTTTGCTGTATACCTGAAACTAACACAACATTGGAAATCAACTATACTCCAGTATAAAATAAAAATTAAAAAAAACCCTATTATCTACAATTATTTTAAAAATTGTGTCATTTCCCCCTTTGTGTGTGTGTATTTGTGGTGCTTTTTTTTTTTTACTTAAGTAATTTATTTTTGGCTGTCTTGGGTCTTCGTTTCTGTGCGCGGGCTTTCTCTAGTTGCGGCGAGCGGGAGCCACTCCTCATTGCGGTGCGTGGGCCTCTCACTGTCGAGGCCTCTCTTGTTGCGGAGCACAGGCTCCAGATGCGCACGCTCAGTAGTTGTGGCTCACGGGCCTAGTTGCTCTGCGGCATGTGGGATCCTCCCAGACCAGGGCTCGAACCTCTGTCCCCTGCACTGGCAGGCAGATTCTCAACCACTGCACCACCAGGGAAGCCCAATGTATTTGTGGTTTTGAAACAACCTCAAACTTCAGAAAAATTGCAAGAATGGTACAAAGAAATTTTTTTTTTCCTTCTGAACCATTTGAGGGTAAATTGCCCCTCCAACCCTGAGCACTTCAGGGTCAATTTCCTCAAAAAGGACCTTGTCTTTCACAACCACGATACCACTATCAAAATCAGTAGGTTAATACTGGCATATGACTGCTGTTTAATCCTGACACCCCATTCAAGTTCCACCAATTGTCCCAGTGACAGCCTTTATAGTAAACTGACCCAGCTCAGAACCAAGTACTGCATACAGCTGTCATCATCCCCTTTTAGCATGTCCTATTTCTTTGTTTTATTTTTTTGTTTATTTCTTTAAGTGTGTTTTCAGCTTTTTATGTTATGTTTTTAACAGAGCTTTTCAATATCCCTGGTCCAATTTAATTTCTGGGTAAATATAAATATTCCCAGCGATATTTTTTCTTGCTATACGTAACAAATATATATATCCTTCATGTATATAAATGATATCAATTTGTATCATTATATTTGTCAATGGTTCCAGCTCTCTGTCTTTATACGTTTAATAAGATACCCTGGTCAGGATTCTAAAAACTACAGTTATGAAATATAGAAATCATATAATGAATAAATCCCTTATCCCCTTGCATCTGCATTATGTTGATTAATTATGATTTTGTAGCATACTGTTCTCACCAGCAATCTAATTGTATGAGTCTAAAGATGTGCAGAATATTGCCTTCTTTGTTTCGGTTTTTTCTTCCCAGAAGATCCTTCATAAGCTGGTCTTGGATTCCTGCTCTATCTACCTGCTGAGCAGCTCTGCTGTGACGCTGGATGGCCGCCCGCCTACGTCAGTACCTGCTCACGTTCGTGGACAGCAGCCTTGCCCGAGGTCTCCTTGCCAGGAAACATCCGGGTTGGGCTTTGAACCCAGGTAGTCTGATTCCAGAGCCCAGGCGCACAGCCCTTTTGCTTTTTCACAGACTCTGAAGCTTTTATATAAATAGAAGTGGAAGGTTCATTTCAGCAGGTCGTCTACACCCGCAGGCCACACTGGCTGAGCATACGCAAGTCGTGTGACCCTGGGTCTAAAGTTTTCCGCTGGGCGACCTCAGGCAAGTTTTTAACCTCTCCAGGCCTCAGTGTAGTCCTCTGCAAACTGGGAATGTTAATAATTCCTTCTTTATAAATTTGTTATAAGGCTTAAAAGAGACAAACCATGTAAAGCACTTAGTAGAATGTCTGACACACGTAAGCACTCAATATTTTTAGTGATTATTCATAGAGGTAAACTACAAAGATATACAAATCCCTATTTCTAATGTTTCTATAAGCCTCCACAGAAATAAAAGGTCTCTTCTGGGTGCTGAACAAGAGTACGTCCTTGGCTTACTGTGGATTAAGTCATTATGCCTTAGACTGTAGTGGCACTTGAATTTCGCATTTAGATACAAGCATCCTTACGAATATTTAAAAATAAGTGTTCTAAAGGAGGTTACGTGCCCCCCAGTATACTCACTCGTGAATTGGGACTGGCGGCCCCCAAGCCCGCATTGCCGCACCTTACAACCGCGGAAGAGTCCGTAGTAAATGTCCCCAATGAATTGGACCAGCTCTGGATCTGTGGCATTGACAAGATCAACTCCAGTCTGACAAAGGATTTTCCCACTCAGCCAGTGGGGCACCGCCAGGGCAACGATGATCAGGATAAAGGAGGAGAGGCTGAGTAAAGATGCCAGCCCATACCACGTCTTTTTGAACCATCCAGGCATCCTGGTGGGTGCAGGTCATGCCCCAGGTGTCTGAGCAACAGCGGGGGTCCTTGACATCTTCCAGACACTCGGCAATCCCCTGCTCTAGGGTCAGCTCTTCCAAACACAGTGTTTCAAGATTTCAGGTCCATCTCCTGGCCCTCCCTCAGCGCCTGCCTCCACAGCCCATGTTTACTACAACTGCATTGGAAGTCTCTACAGAGACGTCTTCACCTGACTGGAGTGTACAGGAGTGTGTTACCGAAGGAAGTAACCCTATATCCCCCACTAGACTAAGGTTTCAGCAGAGGGCTTAATTGCTCCTCGTTTCAAGTATTTGAATAACCCTGGTGTGGACCTCTTAATGACAAGGAAGTTATTAGCAGGCATAACCAGGTAGATCTGACTATTAAGAGATGCTAACCAGTCTCAAAAAATGCATACGGTAGAAGGAAAACAAAAATGGAATGATTAGCACTTGAACATTGCCAACAATGCACCGTATCAAATGTTGATCTCTTTGATGCATGCCCTGGAATTTCTTTCTCTAAAATGTCACTGCTGTCAGAATCCCTAGAAGTGTTATTAATACCACAAAATGACCTCTGTTCTCAAGCCTTTTAATTGAAATGTGTAAGCAAGGCTTTATGATTCTTAAATTTATCACTGGGTGAATCTGCTGCGGGTAAAATTGCAGCCTGAGTCAGAGTCAATTTGTGACTGTTGGGGAAACCTGGACCCCAACACTTACAGCCCCCCTTTATCTCCACCCTTCCCCCCTGCCCCCACCTGTTGTGTCACCTGAAATGGGAAAGGAAAGTGTTTTTCTAATGTGTTAGCAAATAATAATCTCCCATCACCCTGCTGGGGTCTTTGTCTCTCCTAAGGGTGAAAATCTGTCTTTTTCTTTTGATTTACTGGCACAAGGAATGAAATATTCCACAATTTCTATCGTATACTGTGGCTTTAAAAATTTAACTTTTAGTCTATTGCTGAATGTCAACTTCACATCATGTGAGACTGGTAACAGTCATTGTCAGTAGCTTTGGGGGCAAAGTGGGGCAGAAGTGGCAGTGAAATTCCTTATTTGGTCACAGAGCTCTGGAGGGAGTTCAGGAGGTTGCCCTGTTAACCAACAGGACTTCTGGGAATCTCACTTGGAGAGCACAGAGGGGCAGAGAGACATGGTGATGGAAATAGTTTTCTTCCCTCTAATGGGGGTTCACTTCTGTGGTCCCTCCGCAATGAAAATAAAGAGTGTCTCCACAGCTTGTGCGGTGTGCAAAGGCTCTTACCGTATGCTTGCTCACCCCTGATGGTGCGGCAACCCTTTGTGGTAGGCAGGGGATGTGCTATTCCAGACATTTCTCTCCTGAGAAAACTGTATGTCAGGGTTGGGGCTCGAGATCAGGCCTTTGAAAGGCAACAGCTGCCTTCATCACAATAACCTTGACATAGCAAATGTTTTTCTGGTAATGAACAACAAAATACTTATAAAAGGCTTAGGAGAGCGCTTGGCACATTAGTAAGTGACCAATAGCATTCGTTATCCTTATTGTAACATGAAGCATGCTTTGAGAAGGCAGGCCATGTGTAATACCTTTGCAACCTATCTCTGCCCCAAATGATGGACCTATGTCATTTTTTGGTGTTTGAGGGGTTAAGCAGTTATCTTTCGAAAAATTCTGCGGGAATCGACGGATCTTCAACAAGCCCATGCTCCTCCAGGCTGAATGGAGGTGTGGTTAGGCAGAACCCTGTTAAAGACTTGGGTTCGAATTCCTACTCTTCTGGGCAAGCGGCTGAGACTCTCCTGTTTCAGTTTCCTAACTTGTCATAGGCTTGCTGCGCACACTAAAATGAAACGGCACTTGGAGATCACTTCTCGCCGTGCGTGGGTGTTTATTTGGGGCTGGGGCGGGGCAGCGGGCGGGGAATGAGGGGGCGTGGCCCTGCTCGCCGAGTGTGGCTGCGCGCTAGGCGGCGGCAGCGGGCTCGGCTCCGGGCGCGGCCGACGCGCGGTCCCTCTTGGCGGGGTAGGCGGCCGGGGCGGAGCGCCACGTTCGTGCTCAGGGGCTTTCAGAGCAGCGGAAGCCGAGCCGGAGGAGCGGGATGGCGGCGGTAGCAGGCGAGACGCGCAGGGTGCTGGTGTACGGCGGCAGGGGCGCGCTGGGCTCCCGATGCGTGCAGGCGTTCCGCGCCCGCAACTGGGTAATTCGGCGGGCTGCGGGCGGGCACCGGGCGGGCACCGTGGTGACGGGCCCAGAGGGGCCTGCCGGTGCAGCGCCGGAGCGCGGTCTGGGAGGAAGCTGGGGGCCCCCGAGCACCCCCAGATATGGGTGCTTGCACATGTATGCACACGTCTACACGTCTGTTCTGTCTCCGAGTGCGTGCGTACCCCGGGGCCCGAGGTGCAGGGCCGTTGCTCTCCAAGGAGAAAGGTTCGGGGGCATGCGGCGGCTGCTCCGTCGGCCTCTTCCAGGCCCGGAAAGTCTGGCATGACTCGAGAGAGAACAGAGATGGAGAAAGAGGTAATGAGAGGGAAGGATCTGGAATCACACTGCTTGCCTGGGGTTACTAGCCCTATGATCATGAACGGATTGCTTAACGTCAGCGAACTTGAGTTTCCCCATCCGTAAAATGGGGAGAATAATAGTATTTATCCCTTAGGGGAGTTATGAAGATTAAATGAGATGAATGGCGTCGTTGTGCATAAATTGTAAATTGCTTGACTCATGGTAAAAGCTATTTAAATGTTATCTGTTATTGATATATATACATATATATTATTGATATATACCTCTGTTCCATTTGCTTGCGTTATATGTGATACTTTGAAGCCCCGCAAATGCCTTTTGTTTTGCAAAGATTACTTCTACTACTTTGCATAATCAGTAGCCGCTCCCCAGAAAGCAGCAAGGAAGAGACGAGGTTGTCGCAGAGCTTGTGGCGGGGTCAGGGACCCTGACCCCAGCAGCCACAGGGCTCCGCGTGCACGCCCACAGTTTCTTCTTGCTGCAGCTGTTTCTTACTCAGGGACCCCACTCTGGGGAGCTTTCGTGGGTGTTTACTTAGCAGCAGCCTGAGCAAGGGTGCGCTGGGACCAGCGAGTAAGGGTGCCAGGGTTTTCTTCTTATTCACAGTCTGGTATAGGAATATGCTTTGAAGGATTCTAAATACATCACCTTCCCACCGTTTACCTGTCTTGGGGTATCTTCCCAGGTCTGCAAATGGGAACATTTAAGGACTGCCAGCCAAAGGCCAAGCACTGTGCTCCTACATACTCTTAATTTCCTTTACTCTTTCCTGTAACTTTAATACAGGGCTCCTGTATCCACCTACATTATAGATACAAGGGCTGTGCTTCCTCCCGGTGGGGGCACTTTGGCCCTTTGACTTGGTGAATCTGCGGAGCTGATTTACCTGTGACTGTCCTGTCTTTCTCTGCCTTTCTTCCTGGGGGCTCCGGGAGGGTGGGGATAGAACCTTTTCTTTGTCTCAGTATCCCCCATGGCTGTGACACAGAAGTAGTGAGTGTTTTGAAAGGATGCTCTGTTCTTCAAAGCTTGTGGTGGAGATGCTTATCTCTGGGACCTTCAGACTCCCGGACCTTGGAGCTTTCTGAGTAAGAACCATGTGTCACCTGTGCCAGCAGCTGTAGAATCTTACATTTCATTTACTTCTCACACTAACACCGTTCATTGTTGACAACCCCCCATTTTACAGGTGAGGAACCTCTGCAGAGTGGGTGAACGAGAAAGCCGCTATAGGGCAGAACCAGGATTCAAAGCCTGATCTGATTTCTGAACCCACAGTCATCCCTTTATGCTCTGGGACAGTGGTCAGAAAACTCCAGTTCTCCGTGGGTTGAATCCTGCCTGGCACCTTTTTTCATAGAGCCCAAGAGCTAGAAATAGTTCCCCATTTTTATTTATTTATTTATTTTTTGCGGTACGCGGGCCTCTCACTGTTGTGGCCTCTCCCATCGTTGCGGAGCATGGGCTCTGGACGCGCAGGCTCAGCGGCCATAGCTCACGGGCCCAGCCGCTCCGCGGCATGTGGGATCTTCCCGAACCGGGGCACGAACCCGTGTCCCCTGCATCGGCAGGCAGACTCGCAACCACTGCGCCACCAGGGAAGCCCAGTTCCCCATTTTTAAATGGTTGAAAAGAAATCAGAAGAAGAGTAATATTTTGTGACATGTGAACATTATATGAAATTCATAATTCAGTGTCTGAAGTTTAATTGGCGCACAAGCCACGCTCATTCATTGATTCATTTACTGTTGTCTGTGGCTGCTCTCCAGCTATAATAGCAGAGTTGAGTAGTTGCAACAGAGGTTGTATGGCCAGCAAAGCCTAAAATATTTACTCTCTGGCTCTTTACAGAAAAGGTTTGCAGACCCCTGGTCTAGGGGGTCTCTGCACGATCAGGGTTTGGCTTTCAGAGGTGAGAGTGGAAGAGGAAGAGGTGTTTGGGGGCAGAATGGGCTAGCCTGGGGCTCATTGGGCTAGCCTGGGGTAAATATTTATATTTACCCCAGGAAAGGTTGCTAGATCCTTTCTCTAGGAGGTTTTCATGTAAAGCCTCTTATGTGCCTCCACTCCCCGAGTTCCTGGGCATGGATCTTTAACAACTGACTGTCTCTTGACCGAAGCTGTTTTCTCCTTGATCCAGTGGGTCGCCAGCATCGACGTCGTGGAGAATGAAGAGGCCAGTGCCAGCGTCCTGGTTAAAATGACAGACTCGTTTACGGAGCAGGCTGACCAGGTAAGTCTAGAGAAGGCCCTACCGCGCATGTGGTAGGGGAACGCTGGGGATAGGGTTCCGCCGGCTGTGTGCTCTTCCTTTTTTTCAGGTATTATTTCTCTAATTATGAAAGCCATTTGTGCTCATGGAGGGAAATTTGGAAAAAATGAAAAAAAACCACAAAGATAAATAGCCCATAATTCATGTCTAGTTAGCTCACTAGTTAGTTCACACTTTGGCCCATTTTCTTGTCTTACAAACTATGCATACTATATGTTACTAGTTTTACAAGTTGAGATAAATTTCGTATTTTATATGTTATGGTCAGCTTTTTTTTAAAACTTAACCTTTAACTTACTTATTCAGATCACTTAATAAAACCTGTGTTGACATGTAATTTTTCTTTGTGTGGATTGGCCACAGTTTGTTTAGTTTGCACTTAATTATACATTTAAGTTTTTTGCAAGGTTTTTTTTTTTTACCATTATCAAGAATACTGTGGTGAACTTCTTCGTCTCTATCTCTGATTATTTATTTAGCATACATTCTGAAAAGTGGGCTCCCCCTGTTCAAAGCAAGAATACTAACAAAGCAGGTTGTTTCTAATTATAAAATTATAGGCTTACTGTAAAATAAGAAGTCAAACAAAACTATACAAATATATAGGTAAATTGTGAAATACCCCTTTTTCTCTCTGTGATAGTGTCACCTCCCCCTGCCCAGAAGGAAGCACTGTTAACAATTTGATGGGTATCTTGGTATAAATATCTGAGATGCTCTTAAGCGGTTCTGCCTTTCTGAAAGAGCTGTTCCCACCAACTGCATGAAGATGTGCTTTATATGGTTCTCATGCCAACCCTCAGCTATTTCTTATAACAGATTTTTAAAATTTTAAAAGTAGTGCATGTGTGATGTAGAAAATACAGTAAAGCAGAAAGGAGAAGGAAATGATTTCTGTTCTCACGATGCAGTTAATATTTTGTTATATTTTCTGACAGTCCATTTCTCCAAACATATACACATATAAATCTAAAAATTTTTTAAAAACCCTGGGACTTCCCTGGTAGTCCAGTGGTTAAGACTCTGCGCTTCCACTGCAGGGGGCCTGGGTTCGATCCCTGGTTGGGGAACTAAGATCCTGCATGCTGTACAGTGTGACAAAATACCCCAAAAAGCCCCAAATAAATTATGACTATACTGTAACTGCTCATTTGCTCTTCCTAAAGCATCAGTTTGACATAGTTTAGAATGTAGGAAACCAGCTGACTTATTCCAAAATGTAGATTTTTGTTGTCCTTACTTTTTATAATATGCTCTCAATGTTTTCTATATTTAATGATATTGTCTTTAATGGACCTAATAGTAAAACTTGACGTGGCTTCGTTGTGTGTTAGATACCATACTAAGTGCCGTATTTGCATTTGCATTAACTCAATCTCTGTAAAACAGTTTCTCATTTTATCTTCCTTTTAGAAATGAGGAGTCTGAGGCATAGAAGTCCCTGGTGTTTGCTCAAGGTCAAAGCTAGTAGGTGGCAGAGCTAGGATTTGAACCTGGGCAGTGGGGGTTTGATGTCTGTGCTCTTAATTGTACCTTAAGTTGATTCTCAGCAAAATAGCTTCATGTGAATAAAGTAATGAAAACTAAAACCAAATGCTAGGAAGGCATCTGGGCTTGGATAGCAGCAGCTCCTCCAGACGTGGTTCTCTGTAATCAGCGTCTCTCCTGCTCCTTTAATTGCAGGTTTCTGATGTCTGTATCCCTTTTTGAATGTGAAGTTGTCCACATCTGAGTCTTGACCATAACAGTGCATCTTTACGATGAAGATTGGGAAATGCCTTCGTTATTATAAGCTTAGCTTTTAAAATCTTTAACCCCTCCTGTAGGAGACTCTCTCATCCCCCAGTCGCTCAATTAAGAATTTCTGGACAAAAACATGACATCCAGTTTTTGTTTGTAAAGCTCCAGAAGAGGAAGTTCAATCCTAATACACGTAAAATTGGCCCCCCTGGATTGGAAATTCACGATGACAATGATAAGATGAAGAAATGAGACAAGTACTAAATCTTTAGAAGACTATTGGGCAGAATGCAGAATTTAAGGGGAAGGAGTTTTAAAATGCCTCGTTTTAATTTTATTATAAAAATAAAAGACAGAGGTTGTAAAAAAACAAATCAAGCAGGTGCATTGTTGGTAAGGGCTCCATGCTTCCCTAAAAAATAGAGAGCACAGGTTGTGTGCCTGTACAGTGGTCAGGGGAAATGATCCAATTTCCTGCAGCTGGGATCTGGGCTCTTGGCAACAGGGTGTGGCTTAGAAATCAAGGGAGGGGCAGCTGGGGAACCAGGGTAACAGGTGAAAGGTCAACAAAAGCTAAATCAGGATTAGGTGAGATACTTACCAAGGGATATTCAGGAATCTTCTTAAAATGAAAGCTTTAGGTATAGAATGTACAGAGAGGAAAGATTGATTTCCATTGCTAATGCAGTCTCTTTGGAAGAGTAATTTTTTTTTTTTTTTGGCTGGGCCTCATGGTTTGCAGGATCTTAGTTCCAGGGATTGAACCCGTGCCCCGCGTAGTGCAAGTGCGGAGTACTAACCACTGGACCGCCAGGGAAGTCCCTTGAAAAAGCAATTTAAGGCTCGGAAATAGTTAGGGAAAGCAGTCAGAGACTGAAATGTTACTGTTGGGAGAATTACACCATTTACACTTAACACCATTGTGTTAAGTCTTAAGAAGATTGATCTTAACAAAGCTATTGAGAGGCTGTGGTCCTTTCAGCCCTTCCAGAAAAATATGGTATAGTGGTGAGCATAGATGCCTTCCAGAAAAATATGGAAAAGGGTCATGGGTAATGACCAGGATTGTCTGTCTTGTCAGACTTTTGTTTTAATAAATTGTAACAGAAGGACATGTATATGTTTTCAACACTTTAAACATTTTAATCAGACAGAAATAGAGAATTAAAATGAACCACCATGTACTCATTATTTACCAACATTTTGCTGTTGACTATTTTTTATTGCTTTTTAAAAAAAATAATTTCTCTTTGGCGTTTTTTTCTTGGAGTTGCAGTTAATGGGATACTTGTATTCCAAGGAGAGTGGAATTGATTATTTCAAATTATGATTCTGTGATTTGCAAAGAAAGTTGGCAAAGAAGTATACCAGAAGGCTAGCTGTAGGCAGTGAAGCCCTAGGTGATTTTTTTTTAAACTTTTCCTACTTTATTTATTGTTTTATTCCAGGGATGCATATGTCTTCACCCTTTAGATGTTCAGAAGAAGACTAGGTTGCTTTATAAAAATCACACTGAAATGTAGTCAAGCTTCACTATCCAAATGTCCATTATAAATTGGTCCTGCATCTTATTTTCAAAGTATTAATTGCCAGGTACTGTGAACTGACTTAAAAAGGAGTGAAAAATAAATGGAGGTGATTGTAAAGATGTCAGCCTGTTGAGGTTTACCTGACTGTTTGTGCATCTTCCCAACCCTTTTATTTCAGGTGACTGCTGAGGTTGGAAAGCTCTTGGGTGCAGAGAAGGTGGATGCGATCCTTTGTGTGGCTGGAGGATGGGCTGGGGGCAATGCCAAGTCCAAGTGTGAGTCCTTTTCTGAATTAGTCATTTTGTTTTTCTCTTTGTCCAGGTGCGTGGGGATGGGTCTATACTAGGTGTCAGGTCAGATGTTTTCCTGTATGTCTCCCAGAAGCTTTACCATAGCTGTGAGGTAGGGATCAACACCCCGTTTTACAGATAAAGAAAAAACTTCCCATAGAAGGGGGTTAGGGCAGAGGGACCCTGAGATTGACATTTAAAAAGGAGACAAAATGAAATCAGCATTGTTTCTACCCCAGTCTTTCAGGGCTTATTACTGGGAGTTGGGGGATGTGAACAGAATGGAGAGATCATTCTGAAGGTCAAAAGGACTCAAAACTGAGCTTTTGTTAAAGCTGAGTATATTTTCCATTTTTTATTATGAACATTTTCAGATACACAGAAAAGTTGAAAGAACAGTTCAACGCACACCCTTATGTCCTCCGTCTAGATTCAATCCTTGTTAACATTTGCTATACTTGCATTCTCTTGCTTTCTTACATGTGTGTCCTCTGTGTGTGTATTTTGTTGTTGTTGATCATTTGAAAGTAATGACACTTCACTATATTTCAACATGCACCTCCAGAGATGAAGCTGTTCTCCCACATTATCGTAATACCATTCTCATACCTAAGAAAATTAACAGTGATTCTATAAGTTTAATAGTATCAGCTTATGTTCTGATTACCTCAGTTTATTCCATATCTTTCATAGTTGTTCTCTCTAAATTTGTTCCAGTCAAGGTTTATGTACTGCATTTTATTGTTGTTTTTAGTCTCTTAATCTAGAATTTTTTTTTTTTTTTTCCTGTGACAGACTTGGCAGGTCCAGGGCAGTTTTCATATAGACGGTCACCCACACTGAATTAGTCAAACTGTTTCTTTAAGGTATCATTTACCTTGTTCCTCTGTCCCTGGTATTTCCTGTGAACTGGAAGGTAGGTCTAGAGGCTTGCTTAGATTCAGGTTAAATATTTTGAGGTGAGAATGCTTCCTGAGTGATGTGGACTTCACACTGCATCACATAGGGACCTTACCATGTCACATGGCCTTCTCCATCCAGAGTGATGCCAAATTTCATGCTTGGTTAAGGTGGCAAGCTGATAGATTTCCATCATAAAGGTTCATTTTTCTGTTTGCAATTATAAGTGACCTATGAGATAGTACTTTTGCATCGTGTATGAATATCCTGTTCCCAAACACCTTGAGAACCCCAAATTCCCAAAACCTAATGTTATAAGCATCCATTGGTAATCTCTACCTGAGTCAGTCATCCCATTGGAGATTGGAAAATGGTAGTTTTCTAATTCTGTCATTCCTTCTACATTTATCAGCCAAAGCCATTTAAAAAGGAGTTGATTTTCTGTGAACCACACTTAAATGTGAAATTGGTATTTTGTGTGGTGATCAGGTTGGCAAAACACCCTGATGGCCTTTTGTGTATTTTGGTAACAAGAAGTGATAAATGTGGGTCCATCCTTTTTTTTTTTTTTTTTGTAGTTCTTTTTAGCAGGGAAATGCAGTACCTTGGTTGTCACCTACTGAAGACCCCTCCTCCTGTATCAGGAGGTCTCTGTTTCTGGGTCATGGGTGCAGCTTCACTGGGTTCTGTGTGTCCTGTGAGGGAGGAAGGGGACAACTGTTCAGCTAGTGATGTGACACTCCTTACCACTTATTCCTCTTCATGTCTCTGGAAGGCCAGAGGGTTAAAACAACTGCAAAATGGTTGTTATTTCAGCTTTCTTTTAAAGAGTCTTTAAAACTGGCATTAAACTTACAGCCATAAAAAAATGTAGCTCCATAAAAGCCCTCTTTATGTCCAGATGGTAATAGTCCCTGAGATTTTCATCACAGATAAAACCTGACTTAGATATATAGGTTCTAATTATAGATCTAATGCCCTTTATAAAGTAGGACAGTGTTTGAATTAAAGCCAGTCCTGCATATTTGTCAACAGTCCTCATTTATTGGCTGACGTTTACCAGTTTACAGGTGAGGAAGTTGAGACTCAGGTGATCGCGTGGCCTGGATTCGAACCCGTGTCTCTGACTGCAAGCCCTGGGCTGTTTGTATTAGATCTCCTTGTAGACACAGAGTGGCCGTGAGGGCTTCCTGGAGTGTCGGGCACCATGAGTCGAGCTCACCTGTCATTTTCTTCCCTGTGAATGCTCACCTCATGTGTTTCTTTGCTCAGCTCTCTTTAAAAACTGTGACCTGATGTGGAAGCAGAGCATGTGGACGTCGACCATCTCCAGCCACCTGGCCACCAAGCACCTCAAAGAAGGAGGCCTCCTGACCTTGGCAGGGGCCAAGGCCGCCCTGGATGGGACTCCAGGTGAGCCTCCATTCCCCTGTCTGTGAAATGGGGATGCTAATACTTGCTTGCTGGCGTTGCTGGACACTTCCGTGAGATGAGGACTATTAAAGCCCTTTACCCTCTCAGGTGCTTTACAGTTTGATGGATTTTGCTTCCTTTTAGACCCAAAGTTTTTTAGAGGAAGAACTCCTGATCTTTTCATTTGCATTGTCCTCATGTTCGCGGTGGTGAAGGACCGCTGTAGTCTGGCAGCCTCTCATCTTGTTTATTTATCTGTGATGCACCCAGGGAATGAATGGTGCTGCAGTAGCTATCAGCTAGGTAATAGTCACATTGTGTTCACGTGTCCCAAGGATAGTGTGAGCTGCAGAGCGAGAGACGCTGAGGTAGATTCTTCACCCTAGCTGTGTGGCCTAGAACAAATCATTTGTTCTCTTTGACGATATTTCTGCTGTAGTTTCCTTAATTGTAACATAGTGACAGTAATATCTACCTTGAAGAGTAGTTATAAGGTGTTAGAGGTATTAATATGTACAAAGTGCCCGGCACATGGTAAGTCTTATTATATATAGTCATTTAATCCTGGGGTAGAGGTCATTATTATCTTTTTCATATTACAGATAAGGAAACTAAAACTTAGGGTAAGTAATTTGTCTGGGTTATGCAAAAAATAAGTTGCAAGTGTACATTGAATTGAAACCCTGATCATTTTTAAATTCTGTGCTTTTTCATTACATCATGCAGATCAAAGTTCCCTTTGCATTTTGTACTCCCTGTGTTAGCTTGCTAGGGTTGCCATAACAAAGTACCGCAGACTGGGTGGCATAAGTATTTTCTCACAGTTCTGGAGGCTAGAAGTTCAAGATCAAGGTGTTAGCAGGGTTGATTTCTTCTGAGGCCTCTCTCCTTGGCTTGTGAATGGCTGTCTTCTCCCTGTGTCTTTGCATTGTCCTCCCTCTGTGTTTGTGTCCAAATTGCCTCTTCTTAGAAGTATACCAGTCATATTGGATTAGGACCCACCCTAATGACCTCATTTTAACTTAATTACCTCCCATCTCCAAATATAGTCACATTCTGAGGTATGGGGGTTAGGACTTCAATATATGAATTTGGCTGGGGGGCACAGTTCAACCCATCACTCTCCCTTTGGGATCGGGCTAAAAGAATTTAAGCAGGGGGTCAGGGAGTTAGCACAGGGAGGCAGAAACTGTCTTATCTCGACTACCTACATTGAACTCTTCTATAAAAAAAAGGGGGGAACTTTTTTGGGATCTCTTTAGTAAGTGGTGGAAACCTTGAGCACCTTTTTCGATTTTAATGTAACTAACTTAACTGTGAGGCTGTTACAAATTAATAATTTCTTGCCACTCATTTTCTTATCATATTTCTCAGCATGTGATCTTACAAGTCCGTGGCTGTTGCAATGATTAAAGCTGTGCATATGTTAGATGCTAGTTGGGTTAAGATCTGATTTTTATTAAAGGTGACATAGAGCAGAGGTACTAGAAAGTAAATAGAGAAATGAGTAATAGTTTGACATTGAAAAAAAACCCTAGGACTGAAAGACTAATTTTTCTGAAGGACAAAACAGTCTTCTACTTTCCTTTGGTATGTAAATATCATTCTTTGCTTATAGTTTCAGATACTGATTAAGACTATGGGATCTGGAACTACACGGGTTGGTTTTGTATTGTGGTTTTGCCATTTAGTTACTGTGCGATATTTGGCAAGTTACTTAACCTCTCTGAACCTCAGTTTTGTCATCTGTAAAATGAAGGTAAAAAGTAATACCTCCTTTATATGGTAGTTGTGACTTGTAAACATCTTAATGGATGTAAATGGTTTAGAAAAGGTATTAGAGTCAGTAGTAAATGTGAACTATTATTATTATTTACTCCAGGCTTACTTTTGCTCAGTTACTCTTGCTTCAGATGTTAATAAATTTGTTCATCTTTCAGCTCGTTAGTTAGATGTTGTTAAACTTATTTGAGTCATGAAATCTTTTAACTGATTCGGACCCCAGAAAAATCTGGGGAAATCGGTGAAAGCAGGTGATGAACAGGCTTAAGAGTCCCTCAAACCCAAGAAGAGTTGTTCAAGAATAGCAAGTTTTTCACTTGGAAAGATACTGAGAAAACTCTCACCCTCCTATGTCCAAGGTTGTATTTGTAGACTGTCCACTGGAGCATAAACTGTATCGAAGTGATGGTGATCACTTTTGTTTACCATTTAAGGATCTGTTTTATGTTTGGAAATCAGCCCTTAGGGACTACACTGATCATTTTGTAATTGGAATGACAGTTTTTATCTTCTTAATGAAATGTACTTTTTTCCATATCTTGCCAGTGATGCCCTTACCCGCATTGTGTAGAATTCTGTGGAATTAAACCATTAGGGCTGCTGGCTGCTGGCTGCTTGTTTCTTTCTTCATCCGATTCCCTGCTTTCATGCTGTTTGAGTGGAATGAAGAGAGAGTCCTTAGGAGTTTGCTGGGGACAGGGGCTGAACGAATGAGATTCATGCACTGGTTTATTTTAATTACTGTTAGATCTTCCCGCCGTTGTTGGCCTCCTGCCCCTAATTAAACAGAGAAGCCAGGTTTGGTGAAATATTCTTCTCGTACTTCTAAATAACTTTTTGATTGATGTGGTTGTTGTTATAGATGATTTTGCTATTTTTATGTGATTACAATGCAAGAAGCCTCAATATATTATTTCTCGTACTTCTAAATAACTTTTTGAAACCTTGACCCTCTTTTGCAATTTGAGGTTACTGTGGAAGCGGTTCAGTGATTGGTTTCTTGGCTGGTCTATGAGCCCCACCTCCGCCTGGACCTCTGATGCCTCCTCAGTTGTTATTCTTTAAACAGCATGCCTGCTGGGGTTTTTAAGGGCACTGCTGACCTTTGGAAGCAGTGGTTTTCCGAAGGTGGAGGGGTGTTGCCAGCAGTTAACCATTCTTTGTTACTGTGATAGCTGCATTTAGTGCACCTACAGCTGGGTGCTGTGGGGAACTTTGGAGAGGAGAGAGATCTCGCTTGCCATGTGTCTGGGGGTTCAGACGGAACCCTGTCCTAATAAGCTACTGTATTCAATATATAGACTGGATAAACAGCAAGGTCCTACTGTGAAGCACAGAGAACCCTATTCAACATCCTGTAATAAACCATAATGGAAGAGAATATTAAAAAAAGAATGTATATAGATGTATAACTGAATCACTTTGCTGCATAGCAGAAATTAACACAACATTGTAAATCAACTATACTTCAGTAAAAGAAGGCATATGCCTTACTTCTGTCGGCAAGCATTTGCTGACTGATGGGAGGAAAGGAGGGCTAATAGGTGGCTTGCATGCCCAATATGTCACAATTGCTCAAATGGTATACTTTATTTTTTTATTTTTTGGCTGTGCTGCGTGGCTTGTGGGATCTTAGTTCCTGGACCAGGTATCGAACTTGTGCCCCATGCAGTGGTAGTGTGGAGTCCTAACCCTGGACTGCTAAGGAATTTCCCCAGATGGTATACTTTAAACAAGGAGTTGGACTCCAGGCCATAGCACTTCTGTTAATTTGGTGGGAAACATTTATGGAAGTCCTACCCTGTCCTGAGCCTAGAATTAAGTACTTTATCCCCATTTTACAGATGGGATAACTGAGGATTAGAAAGGTTTTGAGAACCCGCCTGGATTTCTTTAGTGGTAAGTGGAAGAGGTGGGCTTTGAACCTGCTCAGCCTGACTCTAAAGCCTGCGCTTCAAGTGACTGCTCGGTTTTGCTGACCCATTGGGCACCCAGGGTGGGTGTGTGCAGGCCGCTCACAAGCAGTTGTCGATACAAGGGTTCAGAACTCTTGCTTGGCTTTTAACCTCTCCATTGGCCTCGGTGCGAGTCTGTGTGTGAGCCTGGGCGTATTACTCACCTTGTCCGAGCCTCTGTTTCCTTAGCAATAAAAATAGGATTAACCTCATGGCTTCTGTGATAAATATTAAGTACCAGGCAAATAGAAGGTTATGTCCCTTCCACTTTCTCTCCATGGACGTCCCTGGTTCTCTTTTCCTGTCCTCTTCTGGACCCTGGCGTGATGTTCTTTGGACATACCAGTGGCGGCCAGTGGTCACTGAAATGCTTTCTCCTTATTTCCCAGGGATGATTGGCTACGGCATGGCCAAGGGTGCGGTTCACCAGCTTTGCCAGAGCCTGGCCGGGAAGGACAGCGGCATGCCGTCCGGGTCTGCTGCCATCGCTGTGCTCCCGTAAGTGCTGGGGAGTCTCCCCCACCTCTGCCCCACGGCTGAGAGTTCACATGTGTCCTAGAGTCACTCTACACCAGGGGTGCGTGTGTGCCGTCACCTTGGCTTCTGAAATTCACCAGAGGCCCTGAAGGTACCTGTTTAGGTTTTGGATTATCCTGGGCTTTCCAGAATGGTTGCTTGGCTGATGGAATGGGTCTCTCTTGCCTCTTTCTTGTGTTTTTTCCTTCCCTCTATCTGTCCCTCCCTCCCTCCTTGTTAAAAAATAGTTTACACATTTAATTTTATTATTTGTAGTTCTGTCTTTCAAGTCATTATAAGGTTGGTGTGGAAGAGAGACTGTATTAGGTTTGTGGGATGGGGGAGAGGGAGTCTGGGGAAGAATATGGGAAACTACGGGGAGACGTTTCTGGAGGGATTCCAGGACCAAATGGCTTGTCTCTTAGCTGTGCTCCTATAAAGAGGATGTCTGTCTGCTAGGGGACTGGGCTGTCCACGTATTCATTTGTGGGCTGCAATTCTGTGACTTGGTCTCACGGCTATTCTGAATGATTTCCGAGGCCTGAAGTTTCTTGGGAAAGTCATACATATCTGAATTCTGTATTCCCTTGCTGAAAATTGGAAGATTTCATGGAAAACAGCCACAAAATGAAGGATGAGGCTGTCTTTTCCCCATATTTAAAGGAATATTATGATTACACATACAAAAACCTGAGAAATGAGTCTGCCACATTTTAGGGAGTGAATGGAGACATAAATAGCAGAACAGTTTACTTTAATAAAGACAGTGTTTTAGAAAAAAGGCAAAACATGGCCCTTTCATTTTGTTCCTGTCTGCCTGAAGGGTGAGTTCTGAAGCGCTTGGCTGAGTCAGGCTGGGATGTGATCTCTGTAACTGTGGACGGCTTCCTGGCCTCTCTGATTATCTTCGTGTGATCTCTCCACATACTTTCCTGGCCAAGGAGGGCCGGGCAGCTGTTGTTCTGAGGGGGAGGCACATGTGACACGCTTATCTCTGGGCTTGCAGGGTTACCCTGGACACACCGATGAACAGAAAATCAATGCCTGAGGCCGACTTCAGCTCCTGGACACCCTTGGAATTCCTGGTCGAGTGAGTATCACAATCATTTCAGTGACTCAGCAGCTTCCATTCTCTGCCTCTTGTGGGAGAAAGGACAGGCCTGTGTTATCTTGGCTTATCAGCTTGGGTGGTTCGTGAGGGCCTGACCTCCGAGGGCACCTTGCACCTTATTGTCAATATCACGGGGTGGAGGGGTTGATGGTGCCGACCTGAATCCTGGCTCCTCTACCCACCAGCTGGCCAATCTGAGCATGTTGTTTAACTGCTCTAGGCCTCAGTTTCCCCGTCTGTATAATGGGGGTTGGTGATAATTGTTAGGAGGGTAAGACGTGGAAGTGTGTGCCAAGGTCTCAGCACTGTGTGTGACCCATAGCAGGGCTGGGTAAGCCTGGAGCCTGTAAACTGTGTTCTGTCTGTTAAAGAGGAGTAGCTGCATGGAATCTGCCACTGATCTAGGTGGGACATCTGGGCCCACATGCCTGAATTAGTGCCAGGCCACAAACCCACAGGAAGCATCCTTTGTCCCCAAAATCATATTCAGCCCTTTGTGAGTATGGGTGGCACTGCAAGGTCACAGAGAGAGTGAGCTCTTTTGTGTTTGCCTAGATCTCAATTTCCCACACTCCTCTATTTAAGGGGGTGTTAAGCATGTGTTCACTGAGCACCCACTCGGGCCAGGGGCTCTGCTGGGCCTGGGGGCGACGAGGAATAAGATGCAGGCCCTGCCTTCGTGGAGTGGGGATGGACTCGCCCAGCAGAGCTGGTATCTGAGCCGCTTTGACGGCTATTTGCACAGGATGTTTCTAAAGGTTGGGCTGAGAAGAAGCTTGCTTCTGGCCTGAGGTTACATCTTATTTAAATGGAATTGGGAGCTATTTGGGACTTCTGTGTTTGGAACAAGCACTTACATAGCACTTACATGCTAGGCACCGTTGAAGCACTTCATAACCATGATCTTATTAAATGCTCATAGCAGGTCTGTGAGGGAGGTGCCGTCATCTTTTATTTAAGGTTTGGGGGCTCGGAGGCATGGGGAGTGTGGGCCTAAGGAGCTTGCCCAAGGTCGCACAGCAGAGCCAGGATCTGACCCGGGCAGTGTGGCTGCAGAGCCCTCAGTCTTAACCACTGTCCCGACAGTTACTCCTGTCTTTGCCGGGTATCATGCTTAATGTTGGATCTGCAAAAGAAAAAAAAAATTGAAGTTGTGGAAGGAACAACTCTTGAGTGGTGTTTGCATTTGAGTTTCTTTTTAAAGGCTACTACTGCCAGCAATGTCTCTTGACAGAGACATTGACCCAGGACCCTAGATGGAACATCTGGGGCCATGTGTGTAATTCAGTGCTGGGCCACAGCTGACAGAGGGTGGGCTGGGACAGCCATGCCTTGCCTCAGAAATCATGCTCACCCATTTGTGGTATTTGAAAACTCACGTGACAAGTTGACATAAAGCTGGCTTTGCAATGTCTGTGAGCATGTTACCTTCTTGGCTGTTCATGGTTAGAATGGCGTTCTCTCCCACCCACTCCAGACGGCTGACAAGGAGGAGGGAGAAGTAAGACCATTTATTAACCTGCCTAAGTAACACATACGCCTCTGCACATCCAGCTGCGACTGGTCTCCTTCAGAGCTGTCCCCTGAGCCCTACCCCCAGAGACGGCTCAGGACACATGACAGTACTTTAGGGAGTTGGAACAGCGCTTGGAGTTTTGAGCCTGCACGTGTTCAACCCCCAGAGTGGGAGCTCGAATGACTGGACAGCTGAACATCTGCTGTGGTCCAACAGGTTGCTTATCGGCATTAAAGATCCCGGGAGCTCCTGCGAGTTCTCTGGCGAAGGAAGGGCCAAGGTCCCACCTGGGGTTTGTTGGAGGGGATGGTATACTCAGCACCGAGAGTAAATATTTTAAGTGATCAGCTACTTGTTAAACCTTGTGAATTCCTTGTGCCCTTTTTCATTCCTCTCTTCTTAGACGAGGTCTCCCGTCTTCCGCAGGCATGGTTGGTTGCCCCTCCCCACACAGAGTTGGTTATTAAATGCCCCATTCCAACACCGAACGCGTTTTATTGTAATAGTCTGTTCTTTCATCTTTTTCCATTGCTTGGCACAGCTGTGGGCGCTCCATAAATATCTGTTAAAAAAATAATAATAAATTTTTTCTCTTTCTTCTTAAATTCTGGGAAGTGATATAAGCTAAGTGTCAAGTATTGTGCCTATGTCTGTCTCTTAGAATGAACTAACTAAAATCTTTTTTTAATCACAAAATCATACCACCGTGTTATAAAGGATTCCAACAATGCAGAAAAATAGCAAAATGAAAACCTTGCCAAATCTAGCCATTCAGGAATTAGGAGTAAAGTTCTGAAATCATCAGGGGCCTAGGTTTGTGTCCATGAGACTTTAGAGACTTTTTTACAGCTGCTGCTGTGCCCTCACCCCCGACCCGCCCAACCAGTAATGTGACTCTAAGCATGTATCCAGATTTTTCCTTTTAAAATGTATAGCTTCTCTTCTTTGTTCTAGAACCTTCCATGACTGGATCACAGAGAAAAACCGACCAAGCTCAGGAAGCCTAATCCAGGTGGTAACCACAAAGGGAAGGACGGAGCTTACCCCAGCGTATTTTTAAGCTACATTTCATTGCCTGTGAGGTGCCTGTCAGAAAAGTCATTAATCTATTAGCGTGGCCACATCCAGCCTTGCATTTTCTGTAATCCTGTTCGTGGTACGAGACAGTGAGTCCTATCTTTCTCTCATCTAATGTGCATTTGTTCTCCTAGGACAGTGTAACAGGTTTATGTGAAATAAAGACATGTGGAGCCCACAGATAGATAGCACTGTCAGTCTGTGTTAACCACGGAATTTAGGAGGTCTCAGGATGGCCCCCTCCGCCTCAGTGTCATGTTGAATTGATTTTGAGGCTCAGTTTCTGTGTCCCTGCCAGTGACTGTGTCGACCTGACTAGTTCAGAGCTTTGTTGGGTCAGGGACATCTGGACCCTGAGTTATTTTTGAATGTTATGTTTATGTCACAGCTGTAGTTTTTGTAGCCTCGAGTTAAACTGCCATAAAACTCCTTCTGTAGTGTAAGCAAAATCCTGTGGACTCTGTTAAGGTACCTTTTTCCTGTGCATTTGCCAAGTGCGCAAGAGAACTACTTGTGATTGTTTGGAGTTTATCTTCTTAATAAATGGACTTCATTTACTGTGTTGTCTTCTTTAATCAAAACGCATCTTATAAACAGTCATAGATGAAAGTACTAGAATCACAGGCTGCTAGTGGTCTTTAGCCTGATGTTCTCGAAAAGGGGGGTGGATTCAAATCCTGAAGTAAGTGTTCTCAGCACAGTGACAGAGGCACATTTCCTTCTTGTGCGTATCAGAATCTGAAGCTGGGGGGATGGCCCTGTGCATTTAGAAGCAGTGCCCCACGTGAATGATACCGGCCATTCTGATTGAGAATTAGTGGTCTAGTGCACCCCATCATTTTACAGATGAGGAAACTGAGACCCAGAGCAATGACTTTCCATCCTTATGGCCAGTAAGTGGCAGAACGAAGCCCAGAACCCAGTCACTAGATGGCTGCTATTCATAAAGCCTTTTACCATGTGTTTTCTTTTTCAATTCTTAAAAAAAAAATTTTTATTGAGGTAAAATTCACATAACATAAAATTAACCATCTTAAAATGAAAAAATTTGGTGGCGTTTAGTCTATTCACAGTGTTCTGTAAACATGTTCATCACCCCAAAATCCAGCCCCATACCCACTAAGCAGTCACTCCTCATTCCGCATGTCTCCAGCCCCTAGCAGCCACCAATCTGTTCTCTGTCTGTGAATTTACCTGTTCTGGATATTTCATGTAAATACTGTCATGAACTCTCTGGCCTTTTGCATCTGGCTTCTTTCACTTAGCATGTTTTCAAGGTTCATCTACTTTGGAGCAGCTATTAGCACTTCATTCCTTTTTGTGGCTGAATAATATTCCATTGTTTGTATATACTACACTCCATTCATCCATTCATCTGTTGATAGACATTTGGGTTGTTTCTGCCTTCTGGCTGCCGTGAATAGTATTGCCGTGCGTATTCCTGTACAGGTATTTGAGTACCTCTTTTCAGTTCTTTGGGATATGTACCCAGGTGTGGTGTTGCTCAGTCATCTGGTAATTCTGTGTGTAACTATTTGAGGAGTCTTTTGATTCTTGACACTGCATTTCAAGGAGATATTATCCAACTTTTATAGGAAAGAAGATGTGAGCTCAGAAAGATAGGACTCATTTCTTCAAAGTCACCCAATGCTGTGGTCTGAATGTTTTGTGTCCCCTCCAAAATTCGTACATTCATATCTTGAAATCCTAATGCCCAATGTGATGGTGTTAGGAGGTGGGGCCATTGGGAGGTGAGCCCTTATGTATAGGATTAGTGCCCTTTTAAAAGCAGGTCCAGCAAGATCCCTAGCCCTGTAGCCAAGTGAGGACAAAATAAGAAGTCTGTGACCTGGAAGAGGGCTCTCACCAAACCCTGCTGGCACCTTGATCTCAGACTTACAGGCTCCAGAACTGTGAGAAATCAACTTCTTTTTTTATCAGCCATCCAGTCTTTGGTATTTCGTTATAGCATCCCGAGTGGCTCAAGACCCCCAGCCAGAGAGCAGTACAGCTGGAAGTCACAGCATCTTACATGCCCACTCTTCCATCTCATCCTCCCCAAAATACCTGAGATAGATGGTTGCCGTTTTCAGATGAAGAAACGGTCCCATAAGTTAAGTGACTTGCTAAGGATACAATTAATTTCAGGAGACGTTTTCATTCCATTTAGAAACCAGACCTTATCATTGATTATTTAGTTGTGTTTCTTTTCCTTTCCTTAGGCCTTGCAATCTGGTGACATGCCAAGAGAATGCAATGGGATCAGGTATGAGGAAGGTGGGATGTTTTTTCTCTTATGCTTTAGCCAGTCATTCAACAAGTAAGTTTTGAGTGCCAGCTATGTAATAGGCGCTAATGTATGGCATGTCATGAATGGAGTAGGCAAAGCCCTCTGTCTGCCCTCAATAGAGTTTCACTGAGGGCAGACACAATAAACAATGAAATATAGCCTGAATATAAGTTAGAGTAGGTGAAAAAGGTGTGAACTGTGAGGAAAGAAGAGCAAGGTAAGGGGGTTAAGGAATGTTGAGGAGGTGAGGTTGCAATTTCAGACAGTGTAGAGTTATGGACTGAATGTTTGTGTCCCCCCTGCAGATCCCTATGTTGAAACCCTAAGCCCCAGTGTGGCTGAAGATGGAGCCTCTAAAGAAGTAAGTAAGGTTGATTGAGGTGACAAGGGTGGGGCCCAGATCTCATACAATTAGTGTCCTTATAAGAAGAGACACCAGAGAGTATGTTCCATCTGTCTGTCTCAGTGCACACACCAAGGAAAGGCCACGTGAAGATACATGTGAGAAGGTGGCCATCTGCAAGCCAGGAGAGTCCTTATAAGAACAAATCACCTGGCACCTTGGTCTTGGACTTCTGACCTCTAGAAAATTATGTTCAGTCCTTTGGGCCGCCCAGTCTGTGGTATTTTGTTATGGCAGCCAGAGCTGACTAAGACAGTGAGGGAGGACCTCATTTGAAGAGATGACATTTGAGCAAATCTTAAAGGAGGTGCAGAAGTTAGCCCCTTGGATATCTGAAGTATGAGTGTTTTAGACAAAAGCCCCACCACATGAGTGTGCCAGGTATGGCTGAGGAGCTTAAGGAGAACTTGGGCACTGGAGTGGAGTGAGTAGGGTCAGTAAAGGAGCCATTGTAGATGAGACCAGAGACGTGATCGTGTGGCGCAGAGGTTCCCAAACTTCCTAGGTCCGTGGTGCTGTTAGTGTCTTAGCAATTTTTCATGGTGCCCCTACATCAAAGGAAATACCTAACAGTGGCTTTATAAGTAGTTAGATCCTAACAATCTAATAGTCACAGTGGGACAGATATCGCTATGTTAACCTAGGAGATGGAAACTATCCTGTGGTGACCCTGTGAATTCCCTGGGGTGCCTGGTGCAGTTTGAAAATGGAAAATGTAAGGTGGTGTGCATTTTAAGGACTTTGGCTTTTGGCAGCCGTTGTGGGGATTTTGAGCAAAGGCGTGACATGATATATTTTAAAAGATTGCTCCAGTTGTTACGCTGAAGATAATCCTGAGACTGTTGTGATGATCCAGGCAAGAAATGATGGTGGCTAGGGTGGTAGCAGTGGAGGTGGTGAGAGGAAAGTGTATTCTGAAGGTAGAGTCAACAGGATTTCCTGGTGGACTGAATGTGAGGGTGAGAGAGAAGAGTCAGAGATGACTCCCAAGGTTTTTGACATGAGCAGAAGGAAGGATTGAGTTTTTTGCCAAATGTGATGGAGAAGGCTGTGGATAGAGCAAGTTTTGCTGGGAATATCAGGAATGTAGTTTTGGACTTACAGGTTTGCTCTTTCCTCTCCCGGTGGTGATGTCGAATTGTATTTTGAGTCTGGCGTTCAAGAGAGAGAACTGGGATGGAGATGAAAACTTGGGGTCATGAGCATACAGTTGACATTTATTTTTTTTATTATTATTATTATTTTTTACTGGAGTATAATTGCTTTACAATGGTGTGTTAGTTTCTGCTTTATAACCAAGTGAATCGGTTATACATATACATATGTTCCCATATCTCTTCCCTCTTGCATCTCCCTCCCTCCCACCCTCCCTATCCCACCCCTCCAGGTGGTCACAGAGCACCGAGAGCTGATCTCCCTGTGCTATGCGGCTGCTTCCCACTAGCTATCTACCTTACGTTTGGTAGTGTGTATATGTCCATGCCTCTCTCTTGCTTTGTCACAGCTTTAAAGCTAGGAGACTAGCTGAGGTCACTAAGGGAGTGCGTCAGTGGCATCGAGGAGGTGGAAACCACACAGTGATGTAAGCAGGGCAAGTTTAACATAAAGAATTATTGAATAACAAGAGATTAACTATAAGGGACTAAAGAGAACCCCAAAGAATACCTTTTGGCTGGGGGAGGGTACTCAAGGAAAGACGCATTTGGAAGACAGACCCCTCCCCAAGGCTGGGATCTGAACCTCATTGGAGCCAGGATGGTTGTGGCTCCGTGGCTGGCACATGCCACATGCCGCTTGGTTGTGGCTTCGCTGGGTTTCCTGGGCCATTGCTGCCCTACAGTCACTGGGGAAACAGGAAACACCCCGTTAAGGTGCAGGGAGACCGAGGCTAGAAGCACTCCCACTGGGGTGCCTTTGAGACTCCCTGGGGATCCTGCCCATGGGGTGCTGCCGAACCTCAAGGCAAAGCTGTCCCTGGGAGTGCTGCTTCATGTCTCCCACACGCATGTGGTATCCATGTGGCAGGAGCAGAAAGGAAACACGCCAGAACCAGGAGGAGAAGCCCCTTCTTCTTGCAGGGTTTCCAACACTCTCTGTTGGCAAAACTTTGTGTGATGTCAACTGCGCAGGAAGGCTCACAGGGTCTACCACCATCCCTGCAGAGCAGCCCATGAAGGTGACCTTGGAGCAGTGTGGCAAAACACTGGCTGTTATGGGCTGAATGTTTGTGTCCTTCCAAAACTCATATGTTGAAAGTCTACCCTCTCAATGTGATGATGTTAGGAGGTGG